ATCAGGTAATTTCTTTATACGCTGAGTTTAACCTACTCCTATAGACTTGCATATATTTTCCAAGAGTCATCACATATTTATTTTATTACTTCTTTGACCAGTTTGAGCTTTTATCTTATTTTGTTCTTAAAATATCACTGAAAACCAAATTTTCATTGTGCCACATATTTCACCTGGTCAAATGAATTTGGCCAACAGGGACTTCTGTTTCTCAGCAGTTTTGCTGCAGTAGTTTCGAGTACTTTGCTTATAATGGCATTATCAAAATTACACTCCCTGAGAAATGATGAAAATGTTTGTTGTGTTTTTAAAAATTAAGGTTCAGCTCTCGAGACCTTGGGTCTCTCCTCTGTAAAATAACATAACAATATCCCTGTCCATAGGATTGTGAAAGGTATCAAATGAGAAAGCAGGGGTGAAAATACTTGGAAAAGGGACGTACATGCAATGTACGCTATATTATAACCACCATTATTAGTCTTAATTTTTCTTTGTCCCCCAGCTGTTTAATTAGTATCTATTTATAGAAGATATGATGACATCCTATTAGGAAGTAATTATTTTCTTCTCACTTTCTCAGTAAATTAAACAATCATATTTCAACTTAAGGAGCACTTATTTCATTCAAACAGATCATCACAAATTTTCACTGATACTGTTTATATTGAAATTTCTAAGGGATTTTCTCAAAAGGAAAGCTACAGGGCAATAAATATAAAATTATCAAAAGCAGTTAGAATACATGATGATATCATTTTCTATAAAGTACAGTTGAATTATAGACACTGAATTGTGGACACAGTCTTCCCATCATTATCATGAACCAGGTAAGATAAGAAAATGGGGTTTACATGTGGGCCACATGTCAAGTCAAATGAGAAGACATAACTCTTAATGTGTGGAAGATATATGTAGTATCAGATTGAAGATTGAAACAAATCATTTATTCTATTCACCTTGCTTCACGAAGAAACTTCACCTTCCAGTTAGAAAGAGTGCTTTCCAGGAGTCAGTCAGTGTCAAAGGAAAACCTTATTGCTCCAATGTAAATATCCGGGGGGAACACAAAAGCTGAACAGGTCAAGACTTTATTTTTCAATAATACATACAGCTACATCATGGTCTGATTAAATTTGTTATTCCTATGTGAATCTGATCAAATAAAGAAACTTTTGAATGGTCCAGGGAAAAATGAAGTCATCCTTGTAAGTTTGCTTTGGAAAGAAAAGCACTAATTAAATATGACACAGGCTTTTTATAAAATTCATGCCTATATTGAATCTTTACTAGCTAGAGTAGGGGACACAAAAGAAACAATCTACACACTGGTAACTGAAAATCACTTTACTATACTTAAGAAAATAGAATAACTTTGTGAAATAAAGCCCACTAATATGCTGAGTTTGTCCCTGGCCTCTACCTAAAGCAAAGTTGTCTCACTTTTGTTGAAGTTGGAGGAGATGCCTTTCAACCTGGGCATGTATCCATTCAACATGACATTATTATCTATGGGGCTTTGAAGCATTTTTCCCTTCACCCCTATTCTGTTCTCTCTTTTGATCTGCAAAGTGGCTCCCCCTGATCTCAAGCTGCCCTGTCCCTCTCTCCTTTAGTTGCTGATGGCTATACTTTCTGCTTGGGTTAAAAAATAGAGATTGCTAGCCAAGAATTATCTAAGCATTTTACTCCTCCATATCCAAATTCATATTTTCCCTTTTCACCTGTTTTTTCTTCATTGTTCTGAAGAACACAGTACCTGTCTGTGCTTTTCCAAGGTTAGCCCCTTTGAGCTCATGACCATATTTTTGTCAGCAGCTGCAACTCTATACTTAACACCCTCTTCCTTCAGCTCAAGTGTCCTGAGTTCAAAGAAAATGTCCCTTGAACTAACTGTTCCTCAAGCAGCTTTAGTTCTCTCTCCCTTTTAAACTTATCAGCTTTTTAAAGAGACACCTACACTTGCTGGTGTCTCCGTTTCCAATTCAGTCCTCAACCCTCGGAGCTTCTAATTCTGTTACTTCACGAAGATGCTTCACTCAGTTGTCATCCAAAACCTAGTAATTACAGAAGGTACCTGGTTCTTCTTCTCCTCACCTTCTCCTGTTTCTGCTGTCTGTCCTTGTCCTTTAACTGTTACCGGTCTGCCTCAAGTTCACCCTTCAGCATGTAAACACCAGATTCATCACCCGTTACCTGCATCATGCTGTCCACTCTCTACCTTGTGTTCCTCAAGTGAACATCGCCATTTACTTGGTCAGGGTCAAAACTGAACAAGGCCTTCTTTTGGATTCTCCTTCCCCAGTGGTTGTCCCCTTGTAACCTCCCAAAACACATCGTTCTGTAAGCCTCTTGCCTTTTGCATCTAGACCAACCTCTTTATGCCAACTCCATACCATGACATGGATATCCATCATATTTAGCCTGCTTCATTTCTATGCATTTCAGCATGATCTACTTCCCTAGAGTCACCTGACTGTACATAATCATACAACAATAGAGCAATCATAAGCATTAATAATAAGAATATGATCATGCCAAAATCCTCATGGTTCTCAGGTCCCACGGACTGTACTCAATCTTTTTCTCCTGCCACATTTCTTTGCTCCCACCAACTAGACTGTTATTCCTTAATTGAGCCATAATTTCCCATGCCTCCTATCATGTAAATGTTGCCCTCTTAGCCTGGCTTTCCCTGTCTGGAAAACTGTCCTTTTCTTTTTTCTGTTCCCATAGTTTTGTTGCCTCAAGGATGGTGCTCACCACATTTTATTATAATGATCTATGATGTTAAATCTCTCCCATCTGTGGATTGGGAGCTTTCAATATACCACAGCTGCTTAGTGTTTTCATTATGTGTGAATGAATAAATGAATGTCTTGAATTTCAAACTTGAAAAGATGGTATAAAAATAACATAGAAATAGGGTCATTTGGGAAAAGGAAGTCGTTTGGGAGTAAAGAAGAGTGGACACTATTAATACAATGAATTAATTATGAATATGTACTAATTTAATGAACGACTGTGAGGTTAACAGTTGAACAAGAAAGTATAAATTTCCAGAAGGCAATCAAGTGCTACTGATGTGGAGCTCACTTAGTAATAATGAACCTGTACTAATTAATAGCTGTGAAATATCAGTGAATAAAAAAGTACAAATTTCCAGAAAGCATTTAAGTGCTAGAGATGTAGAGCTCAACTGAAGTTTCAGAGCCAGAGATACTGAACACTAAGTCATCTGATGAAAGCTGATAGTTGAACTCATAAACAAAGTATTTTTCCAAAACAAAACCCAAGGGTCAGGGACTATACTTTGGGGAAATATGTTAAGGGGTGTAAAGAGGAGCTGGTGAAGGAGAGGTCTGTGAGTAAGAGAGGAGAGAGAGCCTAACAATGATGAAAGTTAGGAGAGGAAATGCACCTTGTGTTTCCTCTACTATCTGGTTCATGCCTTCTACTTTAGAGGTAACTCATAAATACTACTTAAATTAATGGATTTTCAACAATCAATTATGAATGGAAAACAGATTTCAGAACATTAGGGCAATACAACATGGGAAGGCAATGTAGAATACAGATGTATATCTTTGGGATGGGGGTGGAAGCATGGAGAGATAACTTATTGAAGAAGTTTCATTGACAAAAAAAGGAGAGAAAAAAAGAGAGTAGACTGAATATTTTTTGAAAGATGGTGTAGACCTCTCCCTTGTTAAAGGTAGGTGGTGAGATGCTTTTATCTGTAACCTGAAAGGACACAAATTAGGACTTAAATACTGTCTTTTCCACTTGTTACCTGACCTGAGTCCTGTCACTCCATAAGATTATAAATTATTTGTGATCAAGAACTTCATCTTACAGTTTTCTTATATCTCCTTCAGTGCTTCAAACAAGAAGAGCTATACAACGAGAGTTGAATAACTCAGTATCTGAATGAAAATCATTGCAGTTTAGTCATTCCTAGAGAGAATAGATTATTATCATTTTATAACTGTTAATGAAATGGCAACCAAGAACTACAGGTTCTGAGAATGAGTAAAGTACCGTTTCATTTCTAGGACCCTGTTTAGACCTACTGGCATATTTCGATGACGTGTTAGTGCAGCAACAATAACACTAGACCCTCAGTGACAGTGTGCAGTCTAATTCCAATACGATGAATTGCAATCTGTCCTCAGTTTTTAAGATGGTGTCATGAGAAGATGGTGACTGTTATTGGACAACTGTCTAGATAAAGCGGAGGAGAGTGGAGACCAACTCCATACAGAGGCAGTTACCATAAACGACTGCACAGGTGTTAAGTGAGAGTAAGGTCTTATTTAGAAGCCTCCAGAAATTAGAAAATGAATGAGCATTATAATAAATATGAGAATGGAATGTGCTGAGAAAATGAGCTAATGATGGTATATGACCAGCAAATCTGCTTATCAGTTTCATTTAGTTTCCAAGGTGTGCCATGTCTTAAACAATATTCAGGTCTGCCTAATTTAGTTTTTTGTGCTTGTCTCTAGTGATTGATACTCCAAAGCTGGCTTAATTTAGGCAAAACCCACAGAGATGTCTCAAATGATCTGGCAAACCAGTGCTAACATCTGTACGGTACATCAATTGAGATATACTCATAACGCTAAACACTCTAATATCAAACTGAGTTTAAAGTCTTTCAAAATGTTAGGAAGTATTCATAGGCTAGGTCGCTAAAACTCAGGTCTTACATGAATATAAGCTAATATTTTAAGTGTACATATATTCATTACATTTTCTCTCTCACTTTTCCCAGATAATGTATTCTCTGGGAAAGTAAATATTTCTTATCAAAGGTGGTGGTGCACTCAAATACTACCACTTATTTTCAGCTGTATAATTTTACTCACCATTCTTCCCAAATTAGAGAATCAGACAGTTAAAGAAATATCTTTGGTTTTATTACACCATCAAGTCCAGAGGTAAATTCACTTGATTTTCTGCGAGCACGCCCTCTTCTCTTTGCTCACCCTTATACTCACATATCACTGGCAATGGAGGAGTTCCGGGACATAGACTTTGGAGACAGGTCATAGTCGCTGTCGGATCGATACAGGAAGGACTCCCGACGCTGACTGTGGACGAAGTTTGCTTGGAGAATTAGCCCAGATCCCGGGCTGGTCATGGGATCCAGGGGACTCCGTCCCGCTGACGTGCCATTGTCCACATCAAAACTGCAAATGAAGGGGAAGGAATGACACTGCTGTGAATGCCTGCATGCTGCTATTTAAGTAAAGGGAGATTTTAGTTTTGGAACCGACAGTGGGAAAATCTGCAGCTGATTCCTAATATGATAATATTGAAATACACAAAAGTAAAAAACACATTGGTTTCACATTCTTGTTTTCCTAAGATTCTGGGTACTTTTGTTAACTGACCAGATACAAAACATAGGTCTCTCTAAACTTAACCTCAGTTAAAAAGGGACCAATTCTTCAAAGGATAGTTCTCCTAAGTACAGAATTCCTTCTAGTAAAAGAGCAAATACAGAGTAATTCACTACACATTTGAATTCAATTCAACAAATGCCTATTATATGCCTAATATTATCATTTCCCAAAATTTGGGCTTGTCTCCCTCCCGCCTACATGTATCTAATCACTAATGTCTGTTGTATCCACTTTCCTCCATTTCCAGTCTTTATATTAAGTTCAAGATTCCATCAATTCTCACTTGCATTATTGTAACAGTCTTTAAATTTGTGTCTTGATTCCATTTTCCACACTGTACCAAGAGTGTTTCTTCTTAAAATACAAATCTGACTACATCATTAATCAGTTTAAAACCTTCCAGTAACTCCCTGCTGTCTTCAGGATAAAGCCCAAATTTCTTAGCTATATAGATACAATCTTAGCAATCAATTCTCAATTACAATTAACCATTTTCCAAACCTCAACAGGCAACCCTCTTTGATCAGGCACTTCATGCTCCACCCATACTGAACCACTACCTCCATGTCACAGGCTATCCCTGCCTAACTTTCTGCTCCCCTAATTACTCAGCCCTCCTATTCCCTGGCCAATGTTGGTCATTTCCTGAGGACTTAGAATCCACTTGAAAGGCTGCTGATACCCGGGAGCTTCATGAGATGCCCTTGCTCTGTGCTCCGAAGACACATTCCCACTCCCTACTGATAGCATTTACAATGAATTGAGAACAGTTTCCCTTCCTAGACTGTGAGCTTTCTGAGAATGGAGACTCTGAGTGTTCTTAGCACTTCACATGGTCCTTCAGAAACCTTTACTAAGTAGTCTCAATGAATGAGTGAATGAATGAGAGTCTTTGTGCTTAGCAATACAGATTTTAGAGATGGGCAAAGAAAGAACCACACAGGCACAATTAACATCACAGTCCTTATAATCCAGACAAACTTTCCAAAAAAAACTTTTCTAATCAAATATCAATCAGTATTAAAGTCAATTCCCATGTGTTCTTGTGAAAGGAGAGTGAATAGTTCAGGATATCCCCATAAGTATGTGGTTTAAAAATTTTTTGAATGAATAAGTAAATGAATTCAAGTTTAGTTGTTATCAATATTTTCTCCATTAGATCCTTTATCCAAACTATAAACTAGCTAATTTTAAAACATTCTATTACTTTCTTTATTGGAGTTATTAATACATAGTATTACAACCCAGAGACTGGAGGCCAAAATTCATAATCTAGCTTGGCAGGTCATAAACTTATTTTCCAATTTATAATTTTTTTAAGAATGGTGTCACTTCATGGATGCATTATTTGGTCCTTATAGGACAACGAAAGATTATCTAGTTGAACAGACTATTTTTGCAGATAAGGATACCAGCTCCTAGAAAAGTTAACTGACCAAATACTGCGCTAACGGGATTTAATCATCCACTGTTCTGAAGTTCCTCCTGCTGTAATGCACAGTTATGTAAACCAAAATGTATGTTAGTAACTATGACACCCAGACAGGGGACATCTGTTCACCTGGACAGGCACTTCATGCATGTGGGACTCCGGGCAATCCTGAAGAAGGCCAGAAGGGAAGGGATCTTTTATCATTAAAGGACCTCTGGCACGCTCTTCTTGGATATGCTTGATTAAATAAACCCTTATTAAGCACCTACTCTGAGCACACTGAGATACCAAACAAAGGAGATGAGATTAATCTAGACTGAGATATTTGGGAAGTCTTCATAGCAAAGTAATATTTAATGGAAGCTTTTGCAATCCTGAGAAGCAAGAATAAAGCAGGGGGAATTACACTCCCTGACTTCAAGCTCTACTACAAAGCCGCAGTAATCAAGACAATTTGGTCCTGGCACAAGAACAGACCCAAAGACTAATGGAAAAGACTAGAGAGCCCTGATAAAAACCCAACCATATATGGTCAATTAATATATGATAAAGGAGCCATGGACATACAATGGGGAAATGACAGCCTCTTCAACAGCTGGTGTTGGCAAAACTGGACAGCTACATGCAAGAGAAT